GCTAGGAAATCTGTCTGTCACTGGCAAGTCCATTTTCTTCCCCTGGGAAGGAGATGGGATCAACCCACACCAGCAGGGCTGTGACTGAAGCTGGGGCACAGTAACTGGGACTCAACCGGATGCTGGGAGGATATAGGGGAAGAAACATGAAGTCTGTGAGAACAGGAAAGAAAGGAAGAAAAAGTCAACCAGAAATACAGAGCAGGGATCACCCTACCCTGCAACCACATAGCCATGACAGCAATTGTCTGAAACAAGGGAAGAAGGTTTTGCTCATCTCTGTTCCAGTCAAACCCAGAAACAAAACAAAACAAAATAATTCCATAGGCATCTACTTCTAAGGGGTTGCAGATTTTTCCATAGCTGATTTAGCAAGAAGTTCTCACTTAAATTTTGTTTTGTACTCAGCTAAAACTTGAAATAAATATGCACTGGGCTACTCTAAGACTGACATGAGACATAAATGAGACATTCACTTCAGAGCCCTGGGAGAATCACTGGCCTTGGCCTCTTGTGACCTGCAGAACTCTAAGTCTACCTGCTGACCATTTGTACTGGTTTCTTATCACCTCCTTTTTAGCAGGCACTAATGTAGATTTAAGGACAATTAACTGTTTCTCCTTGCCTTGAGGTTTTTGATGTTTTAATGCGTCGGGTCTTTTTTTTTTTTTTTTCCCAAGAAATAAAACTTTTTAGATAGAAAGTCTTTTGTCTTGGATTAGATGCAGTTGGTGATGCCAAAAATAATACAACTTTTAGATTAACAATATTTTTCAAAGAGTGAATCAGATGACTGATATCTTCATTTAATAGTCTCTGTTAGCTGCTACTGCTTATGAGAGGACATAATTTGCCTCTCTCTCATTTTATTTTTGGGAAATTTAGCAGTGCAAGAATTCTCCCTTAGGATCACAAAGCAAAGTTGGAAACTAGATATGCAGAAGGAGTATTTGTTAAAAAGTATATAATTGCAAGTGCCAGTTTTTCTATAAAAAGGAAGCTGAGAAGCATGCTATGAATGTTCATTTGCAAAGTCTCAAGCTGTGACTGCGTAGCTGTGAATCTCATTCCGCTATTGTCAAAGCACCACATTGGTAATTGGCAAGAATGGATGGCTGGCCACATACAAAATAACAAAAGTTACAAGATCAGCAGCAACTAAATATACTTTCTTCTTCTCCAAAGTGTATAATCTCCTTTTGTTCTTTTTCCTCTGAGAGCTGCATGATAGGTGATGAAGGATGAAGTTGGGGAATAAAGGGAAAGCACAACCCCCATGACTTAAAGCTGAAATCCAAGCCCTCCACTTGCTTTCCCCTCCTCTCTGCCCTGGAGCAGACCATAGTGCTGCAAAAGGGGCCAAAGTGACAGTGGCATCCAGCTCATCAGGGTCCCTCATCAAACCCTCCAGGGAGATCCAGATGCCTGGATGTATTAAATCTCACAGTTGTATCTGCAGCCTGTCCTCCCCAGGGGAATAGCATCACCAGCTGGATGGTGAATGTGGAAGGAAGTCCTTATTAATGCCATGTGTCACAGTAGGACGTAAAGTGACACAACACACAATATGATGGAATGCAACTTGGTATAGCACCAGCTATCTAAAGGGTAGGAATTTGACTGTAGCACCAACCCAGACTGAAAATATCTGCTATAAATTCCTGTAATATAGGAAAGATGCTGTAAAGAGATTGTGCCTCTTTTTCTGCAACAGCTGTGAATAATTTGACATTTAGGCAACTGTGTAATAAAAATAATAAATAATAATTTAGCCAGAGCCTGTTGGATCCTTTAATAGATGCAACACTTGAGCTGCTGGAGTCTCTTGAGCATTTCTGAAATGTTATCGGAAAACACAGGTAAAAGAAGATCCCATTGGTAGCTCTGAATGTCCCCTAATGATTCCCTATCCAGATAATTTGCTTAGACTCATCACCTTTACTATCATAAATCAAACCCTGATGTGATTTTAAGTCACTTAGCTACCCACAGAGAAAAGATATTGTATTAGATTGTTTTCTGTTGCCTTTTATCCTCTCTTATTCCAAGAAGTTTGGTAAATATCAAGACAAGTTTTGAAATTATAGGGAATTTAAAAGTGTTTCAGTTGGGGTTTTTTCCTTGCTTAGTTTTATTCTTTAGTTTGTGAAAGAAAATTTTTACCTTTTGGTGAAGTAGGAGGACCTGATTTTGTGGTGTATGAAAATAAGAGAGTTGGGTGGAGGCTTAAGATTTACAAAAATGGTTTCTCTGGGGTAAAATGGAAAATTTTTTAATTCAGTTTCTGGTTGTTTTACACAAAATTAACTTCCAAAGACACAAGTTGTGCCATTCCAGCTGTGGTTCTGGAACAGTAAATTGGGTGGTAGCACCATGACTGGGTGGAAGTCACCACAAAAGGTATGTAGAAGTATATCTCAGAATACTCCAACTTAAAATGGGTGCTTCTAAAAGAAGTAGGAAGCAGTATTCAGAATATGAAAGAAGGTTCATTATGCAAAGAAATGTGGATATTTCAAGCTTTGTTTTATTTTGAACATGCTAAAACCAAAACTAGTTTAAGCCATCAATGAATGAAAATTATATATCCATTCTCTGAAAAAATTACTTTGTCTCAAAGATGAAATTCTGCACCTTTACTTTAGCCCTTCTAAACTCTCTAATATCACAAAAAAAGTATAGTGCTAAACCACTGGTTTAACCTGATTGTTTTTCTTTCTGATGGAAAACAAACCAAACTAAAACACCTATGCATATGGCTCAGGTTCCATTTCAACATTAGAACCACAGCTCCCAGTGGATTACACTCTCTGCCAAGCCCTTGTAGCTCACAGTATTGGTGTGGCCATATGGAGGGCAATATGGCAGGAACAGGGACTCTTACTCAGGAAAGGGGCCAAGAGGTGTTTTGAAAAGGATTGCAGGAACAAGGAGATATGCAAGGAGCTGTGCAAAAGACTAAGCAAGCACTGATTAAAAGGGCTGTCATGGGGAAAAGACTAGAAATTGAAGTGATTGTTGCAGGCAGACTGGAAGGGATGCAAAAATGAAGCAGCAGATGGGAAAACTTGGGAAAGGTGCTAGATTTAAAGAACAGGGGTATCTGTTCTTTAATCAGGCACAATTCTGATGGGAATATTTTTTTACAAATTGAAGTGTCAGGATCAAAACAATTAGTTACTACGGTGGCAGTAAAGCTCAATTTTTTCATTATAATGAACATTAGAATATTTTCAAAGACATTAATTATCAATTTGTGTGATTCAACAGACTGCACTTTGTCCATAAGGGGAATGGGTTAAACCTGAAGTTGAAAGGCAAGAAGTCCTGTAGAAAAAAATGGGACATTTGCCTTCATCCATCTGAACTGGAGGTAAATGAGCCATCTGGAACTGAGCAGAGAAGGATGAACAGCTTCTCTGAAAAGAATGTGGAAGCAGCATCCTCTCCTCATGAGCATTGCTTTCCAAACATGGAACACAGTTTGGCCAGAGGGGTCCTGTGAGGGTAAGCAGCAGGTGAGGTAGAGATGTGCTGGATAAGTGTGAGTGAGAGAGACATTGATAAATGTTTTCCAGGTTTGACAAAGAAAGCTTGAGCAGATATGTTGTTCTCTGTCCAAGAAGGATGCTGTGGGGCAGAGCCCCTACCCAAGCAATGTGCTCAGCCAGTTGACCAAGAAATGTCAATTTGCTTTAGAAAGACTATTGTGCTCTGCAAAAACTACTTTTGGCTGTCTCTGCTCCCTGTGAAGAGATAAGTCCTCATTTCAGAGCATCTCTAGGCAGCTCTCTGAAGGCAAGCAAGGGGCATGGGGATCAAGGAACAGGTTTTACACATGCTGAAGCCACAAAAACCCACCCACACTGCTTAACAAAGTCCAGCTGCATCAGAATTAGCAAGAACTCATGAGTCTATGCCTCAAGACTCTCAAGTTACCAGGCACCTGCTCTTAGTATAAAAAAACTAGTCTGCATAACAAGCATCCTCCATGAGGCCAAGCAGGATGGAGATGGATGCAAACCTGCTCCTCACCCCTGAATACATCTGTGAATGCAGCTGTGGTGTTTGGTGTAGTTCAGGCAGTTTGAAGGGCTCTCAACTAACCCTGCTAAAAACACAGACTCATATATCATATATGGATCAGCCATCTCTTTTTCCTCCTCTGTAAAAGTCTGCTTAACCAGTTAATGACCTCCTTGGCACTATTGCTAATCCTGACAATGGCCTGGGAGAAAGCCCTGGGAATATCACCTACATGACAATTCATCACTGTCTCATTCTTCCCTCATTTCTTCCCATCAAACAAATGTTCTTTCCTAAAGCCTTTCTGTTGTTTTTTGGTTTAATTTTCCAATAACTCCCCCTGCTTCATTGCACTGCACCCATCTGTTCAAAGACAAAACCCCTATATAGTTAAACAGTAATTATGGAAAAGGCCAGGGAACATGGACCTACACCCACAGCAGCACAGTTCTGTCCCACATCCATAAGCACTGCACAGTCTATTTTGAACTGTCTGCTGATAATTTTGTGAGTTTTACAGGGCAACATGAGGTTAGGCAGGCCTTTAGAAGATCAAGGTGAGTAGCAGCAAGTAGTCACTGGCAGACAGAAAAGGCTGCATCTCTTCAGCACTAATGTGTGGACACTGCAGAACACATCTCTTTTAACAAGAAATATCAGTAAGGGAAAGTCAAACAGCATTTGGAAAGAGCTAGGAAACATATTGGGGGTTTTTATTGCAATTCTTTGCTTACTATAGATGTGCATTTTTCTGTGCTGCCTAATTGCTGTCTGGGGCTCCATTTTGGGAGCTGCATAGAGCAAGACAAAGCTGAGGAGCTGACAAATGGGCAAGCAGGCTGGCACAGAGCATAGCAGTAATGAAACCTCCCCCTGCAGCTGCTCCCCCTGGACCAGTCACTTCTTTCATCATAGCCCCACAGTGATGCTTCACAGTGCATATCATACAGGATAGTCTCGTTGCATTGGCTTACCTCAGATACCCACCTCCATCAAAGTCCATGACAAAACCACGCACATCTTCCCTTGTGGTGCCCTGTAAGCAATATCAAAACATAAGGAGGCCAATTCGTTCCTTTAACTCAGTTTCCACTTTCTCTCTCTTTAGTAAGTGCATGCATGCTGCTAATAGTATTTCTTTAGTCTTCTACCAGGATTTGGTCCTTTTTTTTTTTTTTCTTTAAAGCAGAAAAAATTATACTATTGGAGTTGGTTTGATTTCACTTTCAGAAAAGTGAAGCATGCTGCAGCAAATATATGCAATTGGACTTGTGAGGCTGGAACTCCCACACACACAGACCATTTCTCCTGGGAACTGAAACACTTTTACCATGTGTTGGGTGACAAAACACATTAGTATGTTCCTTATATAGAAACACCATATACTGCTGTGTTTTAAGCATAACTGAGCAGGAACATTGTAACATGAACTCTAGAAAGTTGGACTCAGATGAGTGAGTATTAATCGTTCCCAAGGAAAGGACTGAGATGAGATTTGGCTACTGTGTTATGTTCTAGTCGATATGTAGCAGGCAGCTTGTATTTGCTTTGGGAAGTTTGGCATATTCCATTGCAAGTGATTTGATAGAGAAACACATGTATCCTTCATAAACATCAAGGAAATCTGTATTTAATGAAAGCAAAGCTGCATGTGCACATACACAGAGGAAAAAAGCAGGAAAAAAGAGGCAGCACTGCAACTGTACTCACAATCAGGCTGCAGGTGAACCTTGAGACAGATAAGCACTCACCAGATGTCATCTTCACCCCCTAAATTCACATTCCTTGATCCCCTCACCTACTGAGCAATCAAGAGAAATATCTCCCGTTTTATGGGGCAGCAGATGTGGGTACCATTTGACAAGAAAATGCCCTGTGCTCCCATACAAAATTTGTGTAATGATCACATTGTTTTACATTACAGAGATAGAAGACTTGGAAGTAGATCTTTATTCTTGGATTATGATTTTTTCCGTTTCTTCACCTCTGAATTGCCCTTTAAAAAAATAAAGCACTTAATTCCCAGTACTTCTAATTGCAACAAATTCCTAACAGCATTAGTTTCTCAAGCCCAATCCTGCAGATGTCTCTGGAAGTAGCCTTGTTTAAATTCAGGGTAAGAGAATTATCAGAATGTGGAGCTGGGCTCTGAGCAGGTAAGCGGATGCTGGAAATTACACATGCCATGAAATTGGCATTTATAAAGCTTGACCTGTCCTGTGTGAAATGATGAGGCCTGTGAAAGCTAAACTGGTCTTCAAGGAATAGCACTAATATCAGTCCATCTTCCAGCTCTGCAATAACAAGACATGGAAGACTTAGTACCTTAATAGCTTGTTTATGGGTCAGCCTGGACTCCTGTGCCCTGCACACATGGCCGTGGTCTGCAGTCTTGCAAGGAAACATCTCAGTCTGTTCAGTTTGCTTTTTCTACCTATAAAATAAGTTTCCAAAAAAAAAAAAAAAAAAAAAAAAAAAAAAACAAAAAAAAAAAAAAAAAAAAAAAACCACAAAAAAAAAAAAACCACAGCAGCAGGAGAAAGAAGCAAAATGATTTTTGGAGTTGGCTTTCTAGAAAAAACTTGGCCTCTCCCTGCTGCCTGCATTCATGCTTTGACAGCAAAACTGCTTTGGAGCCACTGATGTATTCTTGTCTTTTGTGAGGTGTCGGGGAGATCTGGGCATGAAATCCAGGGCATGACTGTGCATTAAGCAGAACCATTTTCACTTCTCTATAGCTCTCTGTGCTGCAGCAGATTCTTTCTTCATCATTGCTTTAAGTTAAAGAAGAAACTCCTTATCTATTTCTCTTGACATTTGGCTTTAAACACTTTTTTAACAGCTATTGCTATATATATGCTTCACTTTTCTGTTCTGTTCCCTTTCTCCCAATTATTTTGAAAATATTTGCCATGCCCACATTCACTTCATATTTCTGGCATTTTGGGATTTCAAACTTGAAAATATGTCTCAAATACCAGCATGAGTTTCAGACAATGAAATCATTAGCTTGAAAGAAAAAACCTAACCTGGCCATCAGCAGTAATGTTGACTATGTGACAGAATGCACAGAGCTTGTTACCCAGGAAAGGATTTTTTTTTTTTAATGCAAAAAATAACCAGAATGGCATTTATTAAAAAGATAAGAAAAAGGATTAATAAAATGTAATTGTTGGAGCATTCTCAGTACAATGATGGGCCAGTAAAATGCTTTCAGTGTTTCGATCAAGAATAATGTAAGGTGTTCAGGGTGTACAGGTAATGCAGCTTAGGGGATATTTGTCCAAGGAAGTATTTTGTTTGAAGATAGTATTTCTGAAAGTCTGGTTAGTGTTATAATTGCTTCAAGCTTCTGATTATTCTTAAGCTAAATTACTTTTTTAGAGTAAAATATTGGGTTTTTACATCTATACTGTGGTGTAATTTAAGAACAGGTAAAACTGAGCATCAAATAAAAATTTAACACAATTAGATTCTGATCCACAGCAGTATTCAAACCTAACTTTTTATATCTGAGCAATTTCATTATCTCCACTGGCAGTGTCATCTCAGCTGTGTTCTTTATGTTACCTACAACCATATACTACTATTCCACATCAAAACAGATGATTAATATCATACTATGAAAAATTTTAAAAAGTTTGACTTTTATGCAACTAAAAAAAAGTCTTAAATAATAAAAATGCTCCTGACTTTACTCTGGATATGAGTCTATACACAATTGCTATGGTATACAAGAGTATCTTAATCTGTGTAGCTGCAGTAAAGAAAAATCAGAACAGTGCTTTGCCTTATTGTCTAAAGTTAGAGACAATTGTGATTACCTCATCCTCCTTCATTTCATAGAATTCTCCTTCAGGAGAAGAAGCAAGGAGGGGTGGCACACCTGTTGCTCAAAACAGACAGATGTCTCTGCTATTATTACAAGCTTAATCATAATTCGGTTCCTCGCAGTGTGACTATGTCTTATGCTGGATCTTCTGAAGCTGCAGATACTTTGAAAGAAAGCAGGAAAAAATATCAACTATGTTTTGCAGATCACTTGGTGTCAATAAATATCAAGATTTTTTTTTTATATGGCTGAGACAATTTAATTTATGCTTTTATTAAATGTCAGAAGCAAAAGACATTATGAGTGCAAAATATTGCAAACTGTGAAAGAAAAAGGTGACTGGGCTGTGTGGTCAGTTTCCTCAAGCCACTCATCATTAGCCCCGTGCTCCTTGTGTCCTTTCCTAGCCCACTCCTGAGTAGAGATGTGACTACAACAGGAGGTTGGATGCTTCTTCATTACTCTTAGTCTCCACTCAAATGCTTATTTTTGGCTGTACAGTGAGTCACTTTGGGAGGGAAAAATTGTTATGATAAAAAGCACTCATTAAGGAAAAATTAAGTAGGCTACACCATTGTGTAGAGTATAAGGATCTGGATGAATATAGTACAGTCTCTTGGCAGCTGAGATGCTGCATCTGCTTTTAATTTTGCATGCTGCAGATTTTTTAGAGCTTTGGTTACAAAATTTCAGGTACAGGGGAGCAGAGGATTAGGTCTCCATGGGGTCTTAATGGTCTTTTGAGAAATGTGCTGAGGGGATATGGCCCCTTTTAAAATATATTTTTGCCAACATACACTCACACTTCACACACCACAGTCCCACTCTTTTGGGTATGACTGCAGGATAGAAACCTGTGCTTTATAGTCATACACAGAGACATACAAATGTGGTAGGTGGGCTGGGATGATTACCCTCCTTCCTGAACAGTGATGTCTCTTACTGCCTGGTACAGCCAGCCCTGCCCATTGCTGTTCCTCCTCTCTGCGTGCACATGAAACCCTTTGTGATAAAGACTCTTTCACTTGTTCTTCTGCATAGTAACCAGCCCTCTTTTAGGTGGTGAGGTGGTGCAAAGCCTTATATTTTCTAGATCTGATGGGAATGGATCCACCGCCTTAGTGCAATCACACAGAGGTCTGAGTTGTTGAAATGCTGAATTATGGATGAATTGTTGCAAGTCAAGACAGAAAGGCATCGCAGATCATCTGGGAAAGACTGTGATTGGCACAAAGCCACTGGATTTGTAAACTGGATAGGGTCCACAGGCTGGAGGTATATTCTCCTAACACCAGGCATTCAGGCAGAAAGCTTTAAAGCAACTTAGTGAAAACAGTGAATGACATCATCAAATAACTCTTAAGATTTACTAAAAACATTTGTAATGTTTAGAATAGAGATTTGCACATCACTGGCCAAAGCAAGTGAACTTTTGCTGCCATCCTGCCCTTCCCTTTTCTTACTGCATTAATCTCCTTTGTCTTCTATTTAACTAGAGTCCACAATTATATCTTCCTGTTAAAATGGGAATAAGATAGAAGTTCCAGTGAATTTAGTAAGAAAAGAACTTTGGAGCAAGAAGCAAGAACAGGATTTTGAAAGATCTGCAAATAAATTTATCCTAGCACATGACTCCAACTGCTTTCAACTGAGAAATGGTCACTTTCCCATTGTCCTTCTTGCACTATTCAAGGCAATGCTTGTGAAGGATAACTGCTAAATTCATCTCAATTTTGTAAAGCTTAACTATGTGTCTTGGTACCACTCCTCCCTAAAAGTCTATATGGTAGCTTTATACTGACTATGAAAGGAAAAGTCACTTAAGGCAAACTGGATAGGGAGCAACAGAATAAGTTGTACATATATGGCTTAGCTGCATTTTTTACAATTATCATCTCTTGTTGCTATGGAGAGACAGATTTTATATATGTGCCAGCAAAATCAGGTTATTCAGTGCCAAGCTATCAACTATTGCAAAGATTTCAAAAATGAGTGGCAGAAGTTTGTCTCCTAAATGGGGAGTTTTGAAGGACAGAGGATATTCATCTCCATTTGTCAATTAAAGGTTTGCTCAGTCATCTGAAACCCCTAGATTTTTGGCACACCTAACACAATTAACTCAGCCTGGAGTAATTATAATGAAGTCTCAATACAGAACTCTCAAGTTTATGATATAATGTAGCTATTGTGCTGCTGATTTTTTTTTTTAATTTGATAACATATTTCATGAGATGCCAAATGTTAGAGCTCTTATTTTCTCTCTTTTGGCACTGTTTAAGAAAACAAAAACAACAGCCAAAAAGGCAACATGGAAGACTACCACGGAAAAATTAAAAGACTACCTAAGAAAAGTTGCAGTCAGAGTATTAAGAAGCCACTGATCACATCCTCTGATCTGATGATATTTTATATGGCATTTCTTAAAATGCGGGTTTCAGCCTTAAGATTCATATTTTCAAACTTCCTTCACACCTTTAGAATAGAAGAGGTTATTTCTGAAAAAAAATACAAAACTTCTTCAAAGAGATACACAGTGCAGAAATAAAAAATTTAAAAAGACCTTAAGTGCCACTAGCCTCCCAAGCATTATGGTAGCTGGCAACCCTCCTGCCAGAATAGCTGTTAAAGATGAAGCACCTGGCAAATACCATCAACAGAAACAAAATGTGGTGTTAACATAGATCCAGTTATCCAAATATTCCCTGGATTTCATGAGGTTGGCAAGAAATTAACTCAGGTGCACTGGAGTTTGTGGAGAGAACAGACTGCCAGAAGCACACAGGCCTGTTTTGTAGGCAGTGTTAATTTAAAAGATGTTAGCAAAAGCAAATAGCACATTCTACCTTATTCACTGCCTCAGCTATAAAATTAGGATTTATTCTTATCCACATTTCCTTTTATCAATACAGCTCTGACTTGGGATCAGTTAGAAAAACGCTTTTAACAAGGGGCACAAGGAATGTTATTCAGCATTTCAGCGAGCAGCATGGTGATCTAATCTTCTGCCAGAGTCCACTTCCAACAAAGCCATCCAGTTCACAGCCTTCTGTCTTCCAACTGTGCATCTTGTGATCCCATCTGCTATCAGTCTGAGCCACACTTTAGCTTGCCACAAGTTCATGCTGGCCCAATGAGCATACCTAGAGCTGTCTAGAATGCAGAAGAAATCCTACCAAGCACATAACACTGCTTATTAAGCACAAAGGAGTTCATCTACCTGCATCATATCCACTAAGGCTCCACCAAGGTCCTTGGAAGTCTGAGTGGCTGGAGTGAAGCACTGCTGTTGCACCAGGACAGTTGAAATATCCACAGCAGTTCCTTGCTTATCAAAACTAAAATTCACCTTTTTTTTTTTTTTTTTTTTTTTTTTTTTTTTTTTTTTTTTTTTTTTTTTTTTTTTTTTTGATCTCACTCCTCATTTTCTCCAGAGCAAACACCCCTCCCAGGGAAGAGCTGGTATCACCAGAAGAAAGCAGAGAGCAATTGACAGCAAAGGAAGCTTGCTCATTCCTGTTTTCCAGAAAAGATGGCAATCACCATTTTGGCTAATATCAAGGCTGAACCAAGATATTTAAATAGAAAAGCTTAATTTGGAACAAAGACAGACCTGAAACTA